ACTTTGAGGTATCCGAGTTTACGACTCGAGAGAAAAAGGAATATTATATTTTATGAAATATGACAATAAAACGTAAATAAATAAAAAGTATCTTGAAAGAGAAAGAGACAAACACCTACAGAGAGGCAACGCAAATAAATTACGCAGACAAGACATAATTATGGAGGTATCTAATTAAGTCCGTTGCCAGTTTCGGTCGGTCGGCTGGCCGCGGTCGGTTGTATAATAATACCGTCATTGTTTGACGTAGTCGGCGGAGATCGGACGATTCGAATGGAGAAGCCGAGACTTCGTATGCGCCGCACGTCAGAGGAAAATTATGGGCATCGCCTAATTCACCTCGCCGTGGCTAAGCGTGAAAACAATGCGCGCGGGTGGGGCCTCGAAATAAACGGTACGATATCCTCTCGAGGCAGACACTATCGGACAGTCGTTCGTCGTCGTTCGCGGACTCATCCTCGTGTCGCTGTGAGTGGGAGAGAGGAAGTCTCTCGATACCACGAGGAAAAACGTGTTAGAAAAATGTGCAAGGAATATACCAGGCGATTTTAGCGCCGGGAATCGTTCGATGTTTGCTTCCGGCTGCTGAAAAATTAATTTGCGTGCGACAAAGAGAGAGAGAGAAAAAGAGAGAAAGGTAGTAAAGACACGTTTTCTTCGATGCTATATCCTTTGAAAACATCAGCACCAAGTTCCATCTACAAGAAACGGGGAAGATTTTAAAAATGGATGCGATCTGCGCCAGTCCCCGGTCGAGGAGACGGAACAGACCGAATTTCCTGGATCTGTCCGCCGTGAAACGTAAGTTAAAACGAGAAACGATGTGAATCAGCGGAATCTCGTGCGAATTGTGAGTGAGGCGCGTATCGTCTCGATAATTGCAAGAAAGAGTAGCGAATCGCTCGTCTTGAAACGATCTGACCTGTGTCTCGTCGAGAGAAAGAGGGAGAAAGAAAGCAGCGTTGATCTTTTTGTAGCAATTATCATCGTGCAAGAGCGACCCACGACGTACGTTACAAACCGACTGTATTTCTCGCGATATTATCGCTGCAATTCCTCTCGTCGAGACCGCCGGATACTTTTGACGGTTAAGAATCAAGACAAAATCCTCGAAACACGATTTATGACAATTATGTGTCGCGAAGATAACACAATAAAGCATCTCTCAAGTAATACAGTAAATTTAAAAGGCAAACTGGAAAGGTAGTCGAATTAAAGTGACTGCATGTTGACTACATGTTCCATGTGGAACAAAAACTGAAAATCCTTATAAATTTTCTTCCTTTCCAAATAGGCAGAGATTTACGTTTGTTTATTCTTTGTTTCTCTCCTGTGAAATTCACCGTCATTGAAACCCTCAAGTCGGTCAGCAATTACGGATTTAAGACCGGAAGTGTGCCAAAAACGGAAGCTACACGCGTGTCACGTACCGGGCGTAAAAGTGGCCGCGAATGGAATAAAAATCACACAAATTTTCCATTTGTCTCGCGCCTTACCTATTAAGATTTATAAATCTACGATATATAGTGCAAATACACGGAAAAAATCTCAGTCTATGTAACTGAATGGGAGAAATCAGACTCGAGAAATGATATCTCTGTTATCGCGACCGGAAATATTGGTCTGCACATTGAGCTATATTAAAACTCGGATAACTGAAATAACTGAGAACAATTGACTGAATAGAAATCTCCTACGGAAATCTTTATGTTCCGTACGGAGACCGGAGCAAGTTAATAAAGTGTTTAATTTGTATACTTATTGTGAAAGAAACAATGCGAAAAGTTGCAAAATGTTTCTTTCAAAACTAGTCTACGATTTTTATTCAAATTGGAAAAATATTACGGTTAATGAAAAGAAAAATATGATTTAAAAGCAACCAAGTAGATTTTCGAGCGTCTCGATATTTCCTCTTAATATTTTCTATCGTGTAATTAGTTATAATTAAAATGAAGTTTTCTATAGCTGTATGATACACTATTTTGTGTAATAAAAGTAGTAATTACTTAATTCACTCACACACACACACACACACAATTTTCACACTGAGTATTCTCAATCACGGTAATAGAGATAACATTTCTCTTCACCGAGTTTTCATATATTCCCTATTTAATTGCAGGAACTGAATTTTTCCCATATATGATTCTTGAAAATATTAATATTCATTATATTCTAGGATATTAATACGAATTCTCTTTGAAGACTGGAAATCGCTGAAATTCAAATCGTTACGTTATCGAATGCAGACCAATATTACGTGTCTACAATATCACACTGAGTTCGTTCGATTAATTCGGGTCACCGATGCGACACATTGTGCACGCTGGAATTTATACGGTGGGATTTCGCAAAACCCAAAACGCAGCCATTGTTATCGCGTGCGAAATGGTTACGTTATCTGCTACATTACTTCATCAAAACTCATTATATCCAGGCACATTGCGTGTTTCGCGGTATGCGTCACACTAAATTAAATATATTAGATACTATAAATACGCACTGCCGCGGGCTTTTCAATTCCTAAGTCTTCTTCAAGGATCTCGCATTCTCTCAATTGCGCAAACTTCGCATGATGACTTTTGTCATCAGCAATCAATACGATTTACATGTAAGCATGCACTATGTAGAGTGGCTCTTTGCGAGCGTTTAATTTCAACGCTCACCATTGCGCGTCGATGTCCAACAATGTCCAGGTATTCAGTCTCCTTAGCATCCAATCTCCAGGTGTGCAAACGTCGTCCCACGTCGATTGCACTTCACTGCACTCGCGACCGCGATAATACTTTACGCGTTTAATGATCGAAGTTAAATCGATAATTAAATTATTACACGGGGAAAATATTGTAACAAAAATTACTATAAAAGTTTATAATGTTGGATTATACCGAAATTATTATCGAAATTATTCTTAATTTTTAGTAATATGTATACATGATGTACATCGATAAAGATTACAACACACATCATAATTTTAGTCATAATATGGTCCAGCATTATATTAAATTTTGCGACAATTTTTTACTACAATATTTTTTTCATGAATGAGAATATACTGCGCGAGCTCCGAGTCATATGTAAAATGTCGCAAACTGAAAACGACGGCGCTTTTAATAAAATCAAGAATGAAAAAAAGAAGTAATCCCGTTTCGCGGAAACGATTACGCTTTCAACAAACGTGCTTCGGATTTCGCGTAAATTCTAATTTTTAGGAAGGAACAATAAATATCGAGTACAGAAGTAATTTAGACTGAAATAAAACTGTAACCGATTACATATGAAGCTTTTAGGAAAACGAACATCGCGACAATCGCAAAATTGATGACGAAGGAAATAAGTGATCGCGAATCCGACGTACGGTGGTGCAATCCTGATGCGCATCTTATATTGCTCGAAATAATTACGATAGGTCTCATTAAATAAACAGTTCTGTCGGATAACTTTATATTGTGAACCAAATTTAACAAGTAACAAAACATGATATTTAAAAGTGACCTTCTGATTATTTCAAGCGGTGTATTTATGATGTGTATTCATGACGACATAAATATATACATGCAAAACCCAACATACAAATATCTATAAACTACACTGAGAGAAAAATGGTTAATTTCGTTAAAATTATAATTATTTTCCGCGCCAATTAAACTGTTTATTTCTGGTTGTTCTAACAAAAAATAATAATAACAATATACACATAAAGTAATTAACATTAACTATAGTGGCGCTTACTACAAAAATGATTTTCTTAACTATAATTACTTCCCTATGCAATTATAGTCACAAATTCTAAATACTTTTCTCTTAGTGTAGGTAAATCGTATTGACTTTACTGAAAATTCGCAAACACTCACTACCGACAAATCCACCACCTCTCATACTTGTCATACTTATGTTTTTTATTCACCAAAATATCGGGAACTCAGGGTCGGCCACGTTCTGCTACAAGGCTGAAACAAAAAATATAATGTTGCTGATTATACATGGGGTATTAAAGGCTTGACGAGAAAAATGCGTGGAGTTAACTCTTTGCGACCATTTGAATTTAATGATTTTTATCTCGACAAATACGTCACAATTTTCGCAAGGATTTTAATGCGAAAGCATGGAAAGTCAGTAAACTTACCTTCGAGCCGACCCCGCTCGGCCTGAACCGGCTCCTCCGGTACGACATCTATGGCCACCGAAACCGCACTCATCGTGTAGCCGCAAGTTCTGATAGATCTAAAACAAAAAATAAATGTCCTAATTAGTTATATCGATAAATTTCATATGAACGTAGCAAGAATAAAAAAAGAAAAGTTGCGTGTTTTTCTCTTTAAAATTAACAAAACAGAAAAAATGATAATTATCCTTAAGACTACATTAAGATTATATCTTTTGAGGTACTCTTAAGACTATAGAATATTGTCACTGTTTAAAACGATTGTATCGCGCGATAATAATATACGAATATAATATATACACAAAGAAAAATAATTTTGCTGTTGTAGCAACACCATCGTCGCTATTACATATTCATTACGACAGTGATAAAATTTAATTAGTATAATTAAATTAAAACCTCTAGCCGGCAAGACACGTAAGAAACGATTCGTGTCGAGATCGAAATTTTGAAATAGTCAATCGGCATCATGGATAAAAGCAACGATAGAGTTTATATATTTTTTTTTTTTAACAGAATTCCCTATACGATAAGACTTAATCATAGTTGTTAGCCGCATGTGCACCCGTTCCTGAAAAAAGGAGCAAAAGGCGGGCTTTGATAAAAATGTGAAGTAATACGTCGACCGATTGATAAAACTATTCACATGATTCACCTATCGTTATTCTAAAAAATAGAAAAATATTCTCGTCGTCCATATTTCTCTACTTGATAGCATAAAGCTATCCACACAATTTCCATCGCTACCCCAGAAAGCCAGATAGAAGGTGGAGGAAAGCGAGGGAGGATTGCTCAGCAAAGTATTTAAAATTTTTAGTGATTCATCTCATTTCAGGATCGCATTCGGCGACGGCCTTGTCAAGGGACGGACACGCGAAAGACGACGTTCTCTTCGTCTCTAGCAAAGGTAGCGAGGCTTCGAAATTGTGGATCAACTACCTGTCGGCATGTTTCGAGCAAATCAGTCGGCAGCAAGGGCGACCACCGTACAGGTAATGAGTATTTTAAATTCGTGACCCGTCTATCACGAAGGTACATCTCTGATTTGTAGCGTTTCCGTCTTCAGAGTGCATCACGTGGCGATCGAGGAACCGATAGCCCCGAGAACGGAAGAGAGGATCCGTTCCTCCCGTCTCCAGATCATCGTCGTCTGTCCAGTTCTGTTGGAACGCGTCCGTATTAGTCCGGAGCAGGCAGTTCATCTGACTAGACATCTGCTTGCCGAGAAGGTGTTGGCGATGATGCTGGGTGTTCACGATAGCCACGTCAATGACAGTCACAAGTCCAGCTTGGTCTGTTACGATCAGTGGAGAAAGTTTTTCGTGAAGGACCAGGACGAGACGTTCGTGGGCGAATTATTGGGTGCGGCGGTCGGCATTCTGGGCACCGCGCCGCCGCCGGCGCTTAGGGCCGACAAGACTGCATTCTCCGTGCATCCGAAGAAGGTCAAGCTGGTAAGTACATAATGGCGGTACTCGAAGTACTCGAGTGAGCTTCTCGAGTTAAAACGAAGCAGAAGGTTCCTCTATCGTTCCCCTTTTCATATCTGCTCTTTCTTATCTTCTTTCTCTTCTCTTCTATTTCCTTTTCTTGTCATCTCTGATCTTTTAATATACAAGTCCATTTTTCTTTGTACTTTTGCCAAAAATTTAATTCAAGGCGATCGACTGATAAAAGGACAGTCTCTATTCCTGTAACGTCCTTCGCGATCTTTTGAAACATGCGACAGAGACGTGACTCTTCGAAATATCGACGAGGATTCGACATAACAAATTTTATTTGTCTTCAGGGACAAAACAGGATAATCGTTTTGTTGAACGATCCCTTGACTCCCGAAGATCAAGTCTCGGTGGTCGTCGACCGTTGCGGCGATGCGATCGATATAAGTAACGTGAAGAGGAGGAATCCTTACGCGCTGCAATTCTCGATACCGGAAAGATGCCTCGAGGTATCCATGCTAGTCGGCGTAAGAATATCCAAGAACGGTTGTTCACTTGGCGTTAGGCAAGTCAAGTGCGAGAGCAGGCTCCGAGAACTCGATCAGATCCTCAGGGCTCACGACAATCCTCTCGAATTCATGTGCCAGGTAATTTAACTCGCGGATCTCTACGCGAATTAATTTTTCATCTTGAACTACCACGAAAACGGAGTCAAGTCTGATTTCTCTCTCATTTTCTCTTCCTCAGTATAAAAATATAGTCAAATATATTTTATAAAAAATATCTAACCACAATAGATATATTGTCAGACGTTTATTTAATCTGGATTAGAAAGCGACGAATAGTTCATTCAGATTGTTTTCCTTCTTGCAGACTTTCGGCTTCAGTTCTACCGACAGGGAGCAGTTGGACAATTGGATGGTCCACGCGTTTCAGAAGAACATCCCACCCCACTTTAATCTCTTATCAACGCCGAGTGGTTTGGTGCCTACCCATAAGAATCACACGAGTAAGTGGTCCCTAATTTAACGATTCGATGAAAATTACACACGTGATCCAGCTTCATTAACAGTGTACAATTTTAATTCGATTAATTCGGGGAGAACTCGCGTATTAGTAGAAAGAAAAAGGCAACAGAAAAGTTCTGGTCTCCGAGATATCTTCGATTTTATGACTTATTATTTCAGGTCCCGAAGAGAGCCCGACATTGCTACATTTCGCCGCGCGATTCGGCCTGGAGAAATTGGCATGGCAATTGCTGGAATGTCCAGGCGGCGAGCTAGCGTGCGACCTGCGTAACGTATCCGAGCTGACTCCCGCCGATCTCGCGGAACAGGGCGGACACACGAGGCTGGCGCATCAGCTGCGGGGCTACATGGTACAAAAACCTCGCCTTTAGACAGACGTCGCAAATTATCGAACACGCAATCGGTACTTCCGCGATCCACTTTATTCTTCGCTTTTCTCAAGTCCCGACGTACGCCACGCGCGTACACGCTACTTAGATCTAACCTTAGAATAGAGATAGAAATATTTCGGAGAGAAACACGCTTGCCTATAGCGACGCTGCACCGTCTAATACCGGTGTGACGTTGCATCTGTCAACCCGCGAATTTTTGCGCCGAATTCGCTGAGCTCGATTTTCCGTAGTTGTCCGAATTTCGCGCTCTTCGAATCGTGCAATCTCGCGCGACCGGTGAATTAACCAACGTATCTACTCTGTATTGCATGTTTCGGGCGTGACTTGGGATCCCGGTGGATGGAACTCCAGCAAATAAACGAGTTCACCAACATGTACAGCTACCTCAAAGTCATGAGCGAGACGACGAATCGACCAACAGGTACGATATCGAAATATCACGAAACAATACTCTCGTATTAATTTCTGCAATAAAAAACTTTAAAATTAATTATACAAAATCAGATTCCGACCTCTAAATTCCATAGCATTTAAAATCTCACACATCACTTGTCTAAAAACTAAAGTACACGCAAAAAACAACTCCGTTAGGATAACTAAATTTTCTTTGTTGCCTGAGAACCACATAAAACGAAACCCGGTTATAAAAACAGGAAGATTCCTGTAAGAGGTTTCTACCCAATAAATTTCTCTCAGCTGTCTCAACCGAGTTGTACAGCTATAAGCAGTAACGCAGCTGATGTTCACAAGAATGTCGCATAATTGCGATAGAGATATCATTTCTCGTCACTGAGTTTTTATTTGGTTCCCCTATTCAGTTACAGAAAATGAGATTTTTTCCTGTAGAAATTATTTATTCGAATTATTCCCTCTGCTTTGAAAACGAGTGTACTATGAAGCTGTTTTAAAACAGATCAGGACTCAGCAACGGACGTCCCATCGGCTAGCGCGAACGAAGCCAATAACGAAAACGAGGATTACTGTCGACCAAGACCCCTCAGTGAGGCTTACTTGGTGCCGCCAATCGCGAGACCAGTAACGACTTTGATTCAGACTTTACAAACGACAACCGCCAGCACAACCATGAGCAATTCCTTGACTGCTAATTACTCAGTCGTGCCAACACCTACACCAGTAATATTACCGTCCACTCCTACGACCTATAACTCTTCGAATGGACTGGACCTCACTTTCCAGGGTTACATGAAAATGTACCCTGCCGGTGAGTTTAAGAGCTTTTATACGAACAATCGTTACTCATTACAGCGTACAATGGCGATCCCGATATATTAATTTCCTCGTTTGACTTTTAATCCAACTAGACGTTATGAATACGTGCCATTAATCTCTATATTTGTTCTGACTAAATTTGTAACTTCGCACTATCATCCGTCGGATCTTCTTGTTTCTGATTAATTATATAAATAGATGTCAACGAATTGAATACAAAGAAGCTTAAAAAATGTATTTTTTTCTTTTAAACCAACCAAAAAAACAAGAGATAGTTACCTTCACAATTCAAAAATACTGCCACTACTCAAGACGGTCCCAACAAAATGATTGCACGCCCAAAATAATATAACGCGTCTTACGTGTGTTTCGATCGATTTGGAAGAATCGAAAATCGCGCGCGATATCTCCCGACCCGTTTACCTCCGTGTCAAGGACGATTTTGATAGTTGAGTAATTGAATACGTACGTGAGTTATTGTTCCCGAGGTCACGTGACTTTTAGCTGGCGAAGAGCACCCGAGAACACTGCTACGTTATTTATCAATTAATCTAACATTCTCTATATCGTAACACATTAATGCTATACATTATTTTATAACATTCAATTTCCCTTTGATATTCAAATCATCAAATAACTTTATAATTTTCGCGATGTATATCGTTGAGTAATGCCTCATAAATTTCTAATAAGATAAATTATATACATACACAGGTGCGAAAATGTCAACTACGAACTCGACGAAGCTGCAATCTCGAACAGGCACACCTACGCAGTGCACTCGTCTGGAGTATCATCAAGGTTCTACGACGGTACGGGAGGATAATTCCGGTCAAAAAGTTAGCCAGCCTCCTCCCTATGGCAGAACGTCGTCCAACAGCAGCACAAAGTCCAGAGAACCGTCGGGTCCTCAGGACGAGCTGCTGGAGATCATAAACGATTTCAAGAACAACGTCTTCACGATCTCCGAGGTGGAAAGGCTCGTCGAGAACTGGCAGAAGCGCAACGACGTGCAGCAGAGCTTCAAGGACAAGCAACGGCAGCTCATGGCGATGCGGGAGGAATACGATAGGATACAGAAGAAGATGAAAGAGGAGATGAAGACCGCGACGCCCTTCGACAAAATACGAAAGTTTTTCTCCAAAGGGAAGAAAGGCAAGTGCATTACAAGTGTCACAAGATATGCCAAGTAGATTTATCTGATTATTTTCAACCGATCGGACGCCAAAGTGAAATAACAACTGACACATCCGACCAACTTTTGTTACAGACAAGGAATCCGCCAGCGTTGCCGTCGACTCGCCTTCGGGCAAGCCCGAAAGCGTCAATGGTGGTTTAGCCGATCGCCGACCTGTCAGTAGCTTAAGTCTTCGTAGTGTCTCCAGTAAGTATAATTAATTAAACAGAGTAAAAATAATTGTGTATCAAATATTGTATAAAATATATATCGTATTAAATATTATATTAAATATACCATCAAGAGCTTACTCTTATATGATCTTGAGAATAAAGGTAACAGATATCCGTTTAGAATATCTGAAATATATCTAATGTTCCCTTCGTGTTTTAGGTATTTGCATGCAATTTTCATGGTAAATCCTATTCTTCAGGTTCGTCCTCATCCGGTAGAATGAGCACCGTCAGCGGCTGCAGCGGCACGAGCTTGGGCGACAGCGGAACCCATTCCGACTCCGAAGAGAGAAGAGTATGTCTAACGTATCATATAATTATAGATCATTAATTTAGCCAAACGCGCGACTTTCATTATCGCATTAACTCTAAAGTCTTTTTTCGAAATGTTTTTCTTCTACATTTAAAAAAAGGCGAAGGATAATATCGGCAGAATAAGATTCACATATTTCATAGTCATATTTACGTGCTAATTGCTTTCAGCTGCAAAATCTCAGGGACGAGAAAGCCGGCATGACGTCCTACGAGATACCACCGACGCCTAAACCGTTCACGGGCAGGTATTCACCTGCACCCGGATATTCCCCGTCGCCGAGTGTCTCCATCGCGCGCGACCTCGAGTTCCGAGTAGCGCAATCGCCGTCTCAGGCCGACGACAATGAGTACTATATCGCGTTCCCACCGTCGGGATTACCTGTTCACGGTAACGCCATTCAACAATTGCACGAACACTACACGCCGAACGAGACGCAGCGGAGTCTGAAGGACTCTCGAAGAGCCGAGACGTGGTTCCTTCAAACACTCCGCCGCTAAATATCTCGAGATGAATAATTCATCATTCGATTCTCTTGCAGCGTTCAAAGCGGACGGCTCTCCGCGAGAACCGGCCACACCGAGTTCGCCGTGTGAATTCTCCAAGTGTCTCGACTTCGCCCAGAACGTCGTCGTCCCGTCGAACCAGCTGGACGAGGCCGAGGTGACGAGACACATCGGCAACAATAGTTACACGAACATCGAGCCTGCGTCTACGTCGAGTTTCCCTTTGGGAACATCTGTCCCGAGCGAGACGAGCCATGAATCGACGTACGTTGATGCCGCTTGCGCGAGGAACGAGGACATCGCGAGAGAACATCGCGATGATGCCGACGAGGTCGCCGAAGTGTGTCTTCCTGACACCTCGAGGACGAGAACGCCGGTGTTCGCGCAATCGGTTGTCACCGACGAGGTCGATTCCGCCGCACTCGTTGCTCGCAGCGAGCAGGACACCACGATGAAATACGAGCAGACAGATAAGCCGGCGGGCTCGGCGAACGTGCATATTGAGGCCGGCGAGAGCAGCAGAATGCCGGAATACATGAACCTCGCTGTTAATATGGGTCACGACTCCGTCAAGGTCCTTGGTGCCATACCAAAGAAACTGCCCGCGCCGCCTGTACCGCCGAGAGGTACGACTTCTCGTGTTGAATAATTTCGCACGGACACAAGGTGTCTGGTGCGACCAGGAACGCATTATTATTAACACGTTGGCTGCCACGCTGATCTTCATCGTTTATCTCGGTGCTAGGAACTTTGAATCACCGTAGACACGGTGCAATTCACGATACATAGAAGAAGAGTTTATTTAAATATGTACAGCCGAAAGGGAATCAATGAAACAAGTTATGGAACGTACAAAGAGGAAAAAATGGGTTGAATTTAACTAACGTTGAATTTAATTCAGCTTAATTTAATTAACGTGATAAAATGAACTAAAATGAACTAACGAAGCGTGTTTTGGTTGAAGGAAACAGACTTTGTGACCTTTATAACCGGATTTGATTGATATTGTAAGACATATTTTGTTTGTTCTTCGTCACGTTAATTCGGCCAATCTTTTCTCTCCGTGTACGTTGATTCCCTATCGACTATATATTTAATTTGTTACATGCAATCGGTTATATCTCATAAATTAATGAAGCGCGGTAATATCGGTTACTAATGGACCCGTGGCAATCAACGTGTTAACGCGATTGATTCGATAAAGAGATATAAAATCAAGAGTGTAAAATCATTGATAATTAACGTGGGGTATAATTAACGTTGGAAATAATTGCAACACAATGTTTTTCTATTTCCTCACTTTCTCTTATACTTTTATCATTTAGATTTTATAATATAAAAGAACAAGAGAGATAGATAGAAAAAAAAAAGAAAGAAAGAGAGAGAGAGAGAGAGAGACATTGAAGCTAAATGAAATTCACGATGTTAATGAGCGATTAATCCACGGTCGTTGTTATTAACTTTTCGTTAGTCACAATATCCAACAGACGTTCCGGCTATAACGTATCGTCATTGCTATACGGTCTGTAAGTCGAACTCGTCCTTGTCAATTTTTCTTCATTCTTTTTGTTCTTTATTGTTTTTTACGTGTTCTAGTATCTGATTTTATTAGCTAACGAGTGCTAAGTGCTAATGAGAGAAAAAATTGTTTCAAGAAGCAAAGGAAAACAATGAAAATATTAGCGTATCTGTAAGATATATTGCGACCATTCATGGATGAAAAGTATTGCGACTAACGGAGGGTTAATGAGTAAAATGAGTAAGACTAAGTGTTCTCATACAAGCCGGATCCGCTCTCGTCCAGGTAGATTCGCAAGTCTAGATAAGCGTCGGACATCGAATCGCACGTGGACTCTCGAGCGAGATGAATCACTGACCTATTGCGGAAGACTTCAATGATTCTCTGAAATGATCTTCTGAAGAGAAAGATCGTTCGCAAAAGGACTAAAGAAATTTTTCACGGAATCGCGATTCAGAAGGATTTCAGTGACATCATACACGTGTGTATTCTCGAAATAGCGAGTCTGTGAAGTGAAAGATCCTTGTTCGGCCGATCATTAGACCGTTTGAAAAAACCGAGCGGTTGATTGCGGTTGATGCGGTCGTGCATACCGACTAATCGAATCATTCGAACAAAATTAATAAAAGCAATAAAATAAATAAGTCTTCTTAGATTAAAAGTCAATTATAAATGAAAGAAATTATTCGAACAGTATGAGGAACCATTGAAATCGCGAGTAAGATAAAAATTTCGGCCGTAATGTGAATTTCAATGATTTTCCCAAAGCTATGTAATGCTTAATTTTTTTATTTGATTTTGCAATCTGTACGTATATACATAAATATGTCGCGATATCAAAGTAGAATTATGCGTATTTCGTAATTTCGCAGTCGTAAGCTACCTTAAGATTTGTGTTTAATGAGTTCTCCATTGTCTGTTGCAGTCACGACTAAGAAGTAGGAACCGGAAATCAGCGCGAGCGCAAGTATCTCTCAAGAGAACTTCTTGTGTGTACGTTGTGTAACGCGTTTTCCTTTTTTGCGCATTAAGCGACGACTGAACTTTCGTAATATTAATAATTAAACTCAGATCACAATTAACATTAATCACTGAGATTTATCTGTGTATATCGTACTCGTACTCAGTAATTATACGTCACGTAGTTTAGATATGCCGAAGGAGATATTCTTGCGTGGCTGACGATATTAGTATATAATTACTATCGCTCCTATACTCGTTTTCAGAGATAAGGTTAATTTGCAAAACTTCAGAAGTATACGAATCCACTCGCCTCGTAATGTTATTCGTACAAAAGCAGCGGTGTTAATTCGATTAGCTCGTACAAAAGCTAATTTAAAAAAAATACCGCGACATCTCAGCTGGCAAAGTTAGTTGGATTCAATTTCCAAGAATATATCGCGCTACATTCGCAATCAGCGAAACTTTTAAAGTACCAAGAACGCATTTATCTTTAATTTTAAGACCAACGCGTGAATCGCGAATGTTTTATACCACTTTTTTATTATTCCCGCCGATGTGACTTTATTTTATATATATTTATGTATGTAGCGAAAGAGATAAAATAGCACGAAGAAAAAAATACATATCCAATAGCGTTCCTTAATTTCTCCACGCATTTTCGTTACGACTCACGAGATGCGGCGATAACAAGCTGAGAGGAACAACGACGTTGATTAATTTGAATTTATGTCTTCATACGCGGGATAAGCTATTATGACCCATTGATGTTAAACGAGCTGATGTGGTACACCGCCTCTTTCGATATATTCGCAACGAACATCGCGTTTAGAAAAACAAAAGAGAAAGAAAACCTTGTTTTTTGGACAAATTTGATACCTTGAAAGTCAAAATGACGTTAACGGAAAGTTCGCGTAAAATTCCAAACATTTAGACCGGTAAACCGCACTTCTTTCCTTCCGGCCGAATTGGGACTTTCTTGTTAATTAGAATTCCAATCAGAGTTGCGGTTTGCCACCACCTTCTGATTATAATACGCGGCCGTGCTCGAAATCATATCTGGCTCGTCGAATACAGAGATAAAGTCTGTGGCGACAACGGTTACGTTCAAAAAATTTGTCCGTTACAATCGTATTAAAAAAAAATGAATCATTTTCACTTCGTAAAAAATTGATATTTTCACATATTTAAATATATGTAAATTTCTAAAATATCGCCTCCAAATTGCATAAAAAATATAAATAATCATTTATATATTATCTATCATTTTTGATGGAAAAATATTGATAACGCTCCTGAGTAAAAAAATTTGGATTATTGCTATACGAAGGAAGCTACGTTTATAAGAAAAAAAAAAAGAAAAAAAACACACGCAACTCTAGAATAAATATTAATTATATCAGATATTTTGGTCATGTAAAGTGCGTCATGTAAAGTTACGTGAATGGGGAAGCATTTAACGATCGTCGTGGAAGGGGAAAAACGAAGCTGACGACGATGGGCGTATATATCAGAGGTGCCGTTCTGTTGAGCGGCAAAAACGACAAAGCATCGATCACCACTGTTACTATACCGGCTACTACTTACCACGTTAACAAAGTATGACATAAACAAATAGCAGCAAATATTCAAGCGCGTTTCAAGTGCCGTGCGAAAAAAAACTCGCTGTCCTTCCGCGTGACTGTTGCACGAATGCAGCGATGTTGCACGCGTTGCGAAATAGTGAAACGCAAGAATCAGTCGGAGATAAGAGAAAGAAGTTGAGATACACGAGTGAAAAAACGCGAATGATCTTGCATCTCGCGATATATTTCGTAAAAATATATTATTTGTCATCGTTCGATCCGACCCGATTCGACTTTCCGTATTTGAGAAGTGAAAATAACCGGAATGTGTGTCTTTCTTCGCCGTTACGTAAATTATGTATCGTGTGATTGATCGTTATTAATCTAACATATTACTCTCCAAATAATCCCCAACGATATTAATTAAAAATGATCGAGTCGCGACATTTGGCGAGCGTTATTTGATATACGCAATAGATATTCTTACCGCTGAATAAACAGGTTTTATTTTATATTCCACCTGTATGCTTATACTAATGTAATGAAATATTTATCGTATGCAAAGCCTCTGAATAACGAGATCCCGAGCGGCTCCCGGAGACGACGAAAGAATGAAGCTGCTGATCGTGTGTCTAATTTTTGTGGCGGCGATCTCTGTCGCGGCGGGCCAAAATAGATATCCCACTAAGCAAGGATCGTGCCCACCCGCCTTACCTGTGCAATTCTGCGGACATTCCTGTTTCGTTGACTCACACTGCGATGGACTCGGCAAATGTTGCCCGACCCAATGCGGCGGTTCCATATGCTCCATGCCTGTCACGATGGCCCGACCTAACCAACCAGGTAAGAAATCCTTCGTCGTCACGTCAAACTGTTCGATCTGAAACGACAACGATCGCGTAACTGATTAATTTTCAATCACACAAAGTTAAAACTTTATAAAAAATACACGTGTTTATAGACTTATCCTGAAACGAGAAAAAATATTAAATGCACGGGGAAAAATAATTTAGAGAGGTGATGCATATTTACTAGAAAATAAATAAATATATAAATGTTTCTTAAGCACAGCCTAATATTTTAAGAGTTGATTCTTGAAGTCATTTCATAAAAAAGAGTTCACACAAACATATGTTCATTTCTTCATAAAATGACCTTTTAAATCTTAAAAATTAACTCTTAAAATATTGGGCGGTACCTAGAAAACACTCGTGTATTTATTTATTTGCTACGGCAGCATAAAATTTGTCGTCCCTCTGAATTATTTTTCTCCGTTTCAGAAATATCCTTCGAGGATAAGAAAGTCTACTTTAAATTCTCTATGAAAATGTTTAATCGCGCGAATCGACTTTAAGCGCGAGATGGTCCTTGAAAACATATCGAAATCTGTCTGATGGAACGCTGTAACAGTCTTCGTAAAAAAAGCAAAGAAAAACGAAATATCAACTTTGTCGCGGGTTTATCGATTTATATACAAGAAAATTTCGAATCATTCTCTCCGCAGAGAAACCAGGAACTTGCCCGTCGGTACCGACAGGCAGATGGGTGTGCACGTCGACCTGCAGAAGCGACGGCGATTGTAGAGGCAACCTGAAGTGTTGCAAAAACCGATGCGGAGCCCTAGCTTGCCAAAAGCCGGACATTGAAGTGGTGGAATCTGTCGAAATTCCAGTTGAACCGGTTGCGCCGCGTTTCGGATATGATTACTAAGAAGCTACTGATCTAATCATTCTTACACACTCTGTGCGTATAATTAACCCAGCGCTGCCATTCATTGCGCAAAAATTGCGTCTGCGCAGCGGTAATAAAGCGAGTTTTATATCCCTTACTTCTCACCTTGATCGAGATCGACGAATATTCGATATTTGTGCCATGCTACTTCTAGTGCCAACAATATATTTATATACTTTTCTATGAAATATACGTCTTGGACTAAACACTGCATCCTGCTTCGTCTTATCAGCGTGCGAATTCTTTCAGAGTTTCTTTGTCGCTAGAGAAATTGATCGGTAATTCCAATCTGCTCGAAATCGAATTACCAAAATATTAACGACTAAAATCAATAAAGATTGCATCGATCAAATCATAGACGAGGTTATCGAAGTGTCCGCGCACATTTACGTCGAGACGTAATGATAATAATGTATCGGCACTTATTGATAACTCTAAGAGAACATTGGCAAAGGCCAAGGTTGCACGGAGGCAGCATTAAAACGAAGACATTTGTCGCGATTTGAATAGGACGTACGAGCGACTAATTGTAGATTTTAACCAACGAAAGAATCGGCAATCCCGCTCGCTTGTTCATTATAAAGATTATCGTACCGTTACAAGAATGTGTAATGAAATAAACCGGTACTCTCGGAGAACGGATCGTTTTGCGCTGAAGTAGAAGAGGGTGGGGTGTCCGTACGAAAAGAACGAGTGTCACGGGTAGCGAATAAACGCAGTTACGTGGCTGGATTGTAGAGCGGCGAGTAATCTCGCGCACATGCCTCTCGCTGATATCTCTTAAGTAGCGGTGCGCGACATGTGAGGAACCGTGACGGTTTAAAAGAAAGTCGTATCGATATATCTGGGAAAAACCGTTTTCCCGGATCATCGCGTGTTATTAAACAGTACAGCCAAAGTAATCGTGGTTTATTATTCGCTATATTCCTCGCTATTCCTCTCCTTTCGCCTTACTCAATCATCGTCACGGTGGTGGTGGAAAGGATTTAAGAGCCGGTGCTCTTATCCTCGTGCGCTAGAAGCTACATCGAAGCCGGAGTTTTAGTGAGTTATTCGAGAGCGACTTGCAAAATGAACCGTAAGTATTGAAGCGTGCAGCCTTGAACGCCGCGATCGATATTACGCGCTTCCTTACGCAACCGTAAGTGCACCGTGTAATTTCCAAACAACGTCATTAGCATGCGTCTTGGTCACATGGTCTTGGTGCATGGAGAAAAATCGGTAACAATTTCTTAATAATTTTGTCACCGAAACGTGTACCGAAACGTGTGCCAAAATGTGTACTTTATTTTTGTAATACTAATTCCAAGATTCTTCAGTGTGTCAGTATTTACGATTACAAAATATCGCGCAGTTATCGCGGCACAAATATGCAATATTGTCCCATTATAAATTATCGGAAATTGTAAACATTGATTTTGCAAATTTACATCCCATCTAAACTCGCGCGATATTTCCACTCGGGATAAAAGGAGTAGAGAGTTTTGCGCAAGAAAAGTAGACAAATCGTAGTGTAAAGATAAGATACATCTCAAGCTACGAAGTAGATGCGAAAAGTTATTGTTTTACGACGAGTGTGTTTCCAACGCGTCAAGGAGTCTCCGTTTTACAGATAGAATTGTTTTTATAACCACGTATATTGGAACTAACACTTGATTTTGCAGGAAATATCTCGCTCCTCATAGTGGTGCTGCTGGTTCTGCTGGTAACCAGCGCGTATGCTCAGGTGACTTGTAAGCAAATAGTTTAATTACGCTTATATAAGAAATAACGGGTGATAAAAATGAATCTGCATAATCAATTGATCCTCGTCGTCACAACGCAATTATCATTTATCGTTTATCGTCAGATAAAAGCGGCAATTGCCCGTTGAAAAACACCGTGAGCAATTGCGGCACCAGATGTATGAGTGATTCGCAGTGTCCTCTGAATCAGAAGTGCTGCACGAACAAATGCGGCTACACGTCATGCGCCGAACCTAGCGTCGTCAGCACTGGCAGCGGATACAAGGGGTCGAACCGTACGTATGAAACTTTCGCATGACGCTCGATTTTTCAATTACAACGAATCTCGAGCGGTACTTCCACCCAAGAAAAGGAAACATTTAAATTTTGCGCAAAAAAAAAGATAAATCATAGTTTAAACATAAACGATACATCGCAAGTTACGAAGATGACTTTCGTCAAATTCTGTAACTTGCTCAACAATAAGTGGAAAATTAATATGTCTGTGTTGGCAAAAAATAGAGCAAAAAATAGAGCAGGTAACAATTGACTGCACTGAGAGAAAAATCTAAAAAGTAAAAAATATTTAATCGGTGATACTAATAATATATTTATTTGATAAATCTACATAAAAAAATGTTTGTATTCAAATAGAATATACAATTTTAATTTGTGTTAATTTCCGCACGCGAGCAATCTTTTTCGTTTTTCTTGTTTATTTATGTTAATATTGACACGTTTTGTACAATTTTATTGTTTTGTGCATATCTTTGTTTTCTTACCGAGGTTAAACTTGAAAAATAATTTGTTTTAAGTTTTCGCTCGAAAATCGCCCCAAACTTCAACTACGTTTGTTAGTATGCACCAAATTTTTTATTCTTTAGATATTTTTTCTCTCTGTGTGACAGCAATTTTAAATCGTCGATTAGCTCAATCAGACTTTGGTGAAAGTCACCTTGAATACAAAAGCGTATACATGAAGTAGATAAATTGTGAAATTACCGAGTCTTTCGATCGCCAAACTGCCATTTTCGCTGCAGAGCAAGCCGTTTACTGCAACGGAGTGAAATGCAACACGAACGAGAAGTGCCTTTTCGACCGCAACATCAGACGTGAGAAGTGTACACGGGCGTAATGTCTCATTCGTTACCGAATCCCTTCGTAAATTTCGACTGTCTCGCACGTAATCCCACTGCACAGATAACAATTACACTCATTCTCTCGCTGTCTCCAGCAGGCCTATTCTGTGATTTATAACGACAGTTGTAACGACAGTCGTTTATCGTAACGTTGTCTCTGCGCAGGTATAATATATAGTGGAAAGAGCTACATAACGACAACGAAACGATAACGACGACCTTGCCGACTTGAAAGTTACTGAATAATCCTACAGTCTATGTTTATCGATGACAGTAGATTCGGTAGAACGTATCATTAAGTACCATCAAAGTTATATAACGACATGTACCGGATCGACAGTTGCCAGCAGAAGTGTAAGGAATAAAACGGATTGACAATTAAGAGACTCGATTGTGTATTTTGGCGCTTCTGCTTTGAGAACGGTCGTTCCGCCCGTCATATTAAGCTTGACGTAGCTTTGACAGCGAACTTATAATACAATCCGACGGAAGATCAATTCTACCATAATAGACATTCAGATATTTTAGGTTTATACCTGTACCTGTAACGATTTAAAGCAATAAAATATTGCCACTGCGTTAAGACCTGGGTGCGTTGCCCGCCATTTGCCTTCTCATTCGTCGTCAGTTTCAATAATCGAAGTTTAAGAATCGAGATCGTTCGATCCCCGTCGATACCCGAGCGATATTCGCCGACAGATGGCGCGATCGTCGCGAGAGCCTACAGGTTATGTGCGTCTGTAAGATAGCGGACTGAAATTTAATTCTTTTCGTTGAAGAAGACGTAACTCGAACGAGAAAATCGTGAAACGATGTAATTTGTAATCGCACCGACTCGACTCGCAGAATGGATCGCCGATTTCGCACTCGCGCCCGATAACCACGTAAATACCTGCTCCCAGGAGAGGTTAGCTCTCCTCCGGCTCGAGGGAGAGGTTAGCTCTCCTTCGAAAATGGCTGTGGAGTTTCTGATAAATCGGCTCAAGGCCCTGTTCGTGTTGCTCTTCGGCATATTTAAGAGGGCGATGTGCTGCCTTCGCCGCCGAAGAAGATCCTCCTGCGACTCCGTACCTCTATCCACGGTCGGCGTGGTACCTAATGTTTTAAATAATTCAACGGTGAGTTGGCTACACTTCTCGCATATCTTGGCGATAATCAGTTTTTTAATGACAAGAATTGAGATGATGATATAAAAGTAAATAGATTATGATTTTTTTAAAGAAAAGAAAAGGGTTCAATTTTTTAGATTTTTGTTGTTTTAATTTCTTGGTAATTTTTTTTTAGGATTCAGCTAATCGGAAATTTCTTTCAGGAATTAGAACAGTGGGACAAATGGGAGGAAAATCCAGTCGTCGTGATACCTGACAAACCAGTTAATACGATACAAGCAAAAATAGAGCAGTATCGTCAGCAAGTAAACAAACCCCTGGAAACATCCACTGAAGAGCAGCTCAACTTTTTTGAGGTAATTCTTAATAACACTGTTATCTTGATAAGCTAGAAATACGACCTTTGAACTTTATGTAGGATATGACCCCAAAAATCACTAGACAAACAAAAATCCTGATAAAGGATAAACACATGGATGGCTTATCTCGTAACACCACAAAATTCATAGCCATGGATCCTGTCCCAACTGTAAGTTTATACTTAAAAATTCGGATAATTTAGATCTTGTTTTCGAACATAATTCAAAAATTCATGTTGGGTCATGTACAGAATGAATTAGGTGAATGGGAAGAGAACGCTACTGGCTGGGAAGTGGACACTATGGAAGAATTCGGCGACCCTACCAAAGCGCTGCGAGAGCAAAAAAGGAGGGAGAGAGAACAACGGCTGATTGAGCAGCAGCAGAAAAGAATGGATCGTACAGTAAAACCGCCAGTATTGGGCGCAAAACTGTGCTCCTGATGCGAAATCACAAACACATGGAAGTTAATATCAAAATACATAATAATGTACAATCTAATGGCATACACATATTGGAAATTCTCCATCTAGAAATTGGCTCAGTCATGCTAATTATATCATGAGTAAAATACGTTTATTTTTAAATAGAACGATGAAGTTGCATTATGTGCACTTCATCTGAACGTGTGCGAACGCTCGCAACGGTTTCTCAATACTTAAACACTCGGGTGTAGGTTTTCTCAACGTTTCTCGGGAGTAAACGGGATGTCGACATGTCTGTCCTCATAAAAACCATAATATTTGTAAACATTCCATGTGAATCTTGTACAGTATCGAGTGTGATATGTTTTAGCTTTTACATAAGACAGAATAACTGTTTTGCAAGTTTATAATAAGTCGACGCGATTTAACGAGTGGATTTTTCATCTTACCACGAATGTCGCTGTAATCTTGACGAATTTGTAATCTTCGTACTGGCAGAATTTATAGGAGGCTGATCTTACAAAGGAAAAAAAATGTTAGTAAATATTTTAACTTGTTGTAGATTTTGTCATGATTTTTTTGTTATCCATACGTAATTAGAATAACGGTGATCATGGATTTTTAAGTATTTCGTAATAAACTACGCAATTGTTTCGATTTAAAAATTCAATTTTCAGGATATCCTATGTATACCCGTATATCAAATTCGGTGAGTGAATCCTGAAACCTACTACCTTTCGAAGGTATTCCTTGGTAAATATAAGACCAATCATTCTTTTGCGAAATATTTTCTCGCTTAATAATGTTACTTCATGCTGTAACTGATTACATTACACAAACACAAAACACTAGAAAGTAAAAATCAACAAATATCGTTAATGTAGCACAGAGAAAATGCACTTACAAACGCAGGAAACACTAAAATGCATAAATATTTTTTGTACAATTGATATAATCAAATGTTAACTTAAATCAATTTTTAAACAATTCTACGATATGTGACAAAACTTCTTTTAGGCCTGTTATGCAATATCGTATGTCGTAACTATTGAATGTCGGAACACAGCCGGTGGTCCAATGAGAACGTGTTTTCGAAAAATAAATTCTCTCATTGGACCGTCGGCTGCGTTCCGACATCCGATTTNATGCAATATCGTATGTCGTAACTATTGAATGTCGGAACACAGCCGGTGGTGCAATGAGAACGTGTTTTCGAAAAATAAATTCTCTCATTAGACCGTCGGCTGCGTTCCGACATCCGATTCCGACCCAGTAAACACTAATTAACAGTGACATAACATCTACGTTATAATTTCCCACTCAACAATGTAAATATAGTATAACGCGTATGTTATGTAACAATTGTTGAGGGGAAAATTATAACATTGATGTGTGATCGTTACTGATAATTGGTGTTTGTACGATTTATTAGATCTGTTCTTTTTCGTTGAATTAATATACAGTCGTTTTTTAAACAGTTTGGACAGCTACACAAACGCTCACAATCGACCACCGCTCAGACCCTGCGCAGTAATAAATAATAACAGCAAACGAGATCACATTACACAACGTGCAAAAACAAAATCTTCGATAAAAGTAACGATTATCGATTGTGAGCGTTCATGCAGCAGTGATTCTCGATTGCGAGTGTTCGTGCAACTGCCGAAAAGTGCCCAAACCGTTCAGAAAACGACTGTGGACACATNAACGATTATCGATTGTGAGCGTTCATGCAGCAGTGATTCTCGATTGCGAGCGTTCGTGCAACTGCCGAAAAGTGCTCAAACCGTTCAGAAAACGACTGTGACCACACTTGTAGAACTTGAGAAGAGACAGATATACAATATAAATAAGGCTTGGTGAAAGAAAGAAGGGAAGAGAACCAGCATCAGTTAGTGCAGCCTCAGTTAGTTCAGTGAAAAGGGACAGACCTATTATANGGCTTGGTGAAAGAAAGAAGGGAAGAGAACCAGCATCAGTTAGTGCAGCCAGTTCAGTGAAAAGGGACAGACCTATTATATAACAGACCTCGCACAGATTGTTTCTCGGAAGACTAATCCGGCAAATTCAGTCGGATGCGATACGCCTTCTCCCATTGAATTCCGCTCCTACCTTTTTTGCTCCAGCAGAACATGACGTAACATCGTTTGATCTTGCTTGCAAAATCAATCGCGCCTGACAAAACGCAACGCGCGCGGCTTTCGAGCTTCCCGCTGCCGCGTTCGCTCCCAGTTCACTCCCACACGCATCACAGCACCGTGCACACGTGTGCACGCGCATCGACGAGGGGCATACGATACGCACGTATATATACATACATATAAACATACATACATCCATACATACGCGTAAAATNCGCGCATCGACGAGGGGCATACGATACGCACGTATATATACATACATATACACATACACACATTCATACATACGCGTAAAATCCTACCCGTGTCGTCATCGCGACCGTCCGAGACGGGCTTTATCGAGCGATAGGAAAGGAAAGGAATCCCCGAGAGGCGACGCGAAAAGTTGCGGTTGATTCATTTTGATAACAGGGCGATCAGGTGACGCGCAAATACGAACTCCGTCGCGTAGAGGAACCGAGCGTGTAAATGTCCGCGTGTACGTGATTCACAGCCATGTGTCGAGTCGCNTTGATTCATTTTGATAACAGGGCGATCAGGTGACGCGCAAATACGAACTCTGTCGCGTAGAGGAACCGAGCGTGTAAATGTCCGTGTGTACGTGATTCACAGCCATGTGTCAAGTCGCCAATCGTCTCCGTCACCTCTACCGACGACGACACACGCAAATGCGAAATGTCAACAATCAGAGGTGAGCTATTCCCCGGCGGCGTGAGCGACAACGGCGACGGCGCGTCGGTGAGTTAGTCCGCCTGATTTCGAGTGAATTGGGACACCGAGCCGATCCACGTAGGAGGAAGAAGCGCGCACGTCAGCGCGAGGCCCAGACTTTAGCAGGTTGGAGACAGCTGGAGACCAGCTGAAGGCCAGCCGGATTGATTGATCTCCCTCTTTACACTCGGTCGGACCCGTGTATATCAGTCGGGAGTTCTTGTGGACACAGGCCTTGACACGCAGATTCCAATTGAACTCGAGAGAGAGAGAGAGAGAGAGATATTAGACATGTCAATAGTAAATAAACGTGCACCGCGACGGGGAAAGACAGCGAAGTGCATTGTGCGCCGGAGAAACGGGATATAGCCAAACTGATAGCTGAACCGATAAGTTCGAGCTGAGTAAACATTATACAGAGGTGTGATCCTGAATACACTGCGTATCCCAGACGGATTCGACGGACGGTAGTTTCGTCAGTTGGAAGGAAAACGGCCGTGCTCTGCGCGAGAACACTGATCGACCAAGCCGACGCTCTGTGTAATCAAACGGAAATATAAGCGACCTGTAAGATATATATATCTACGTGGGACATATATATATACGTTTTAAATATATAATTCTCGTTACATATGCATAAGTGTGGAGCTCTTAAGATTATTGGTTTTTACAATAACCACATGTATGAATTTTAGATGTGAAGTGCTCCCTTATCTTCAAATATAGTACAGTGTGTGATAAGAGTTGTATTATAAATGACAAGAAACTCAATTATGACTCATATTGAAACATAAATTTAAAATCATGTAAACGTGGCTCACAAAGAGATACTATTGT